AGTCAGAAGATAACAAATCTTGGCAAGGGTGTGGAGAAAGGGAACCCTTGCACACTGTTGGTGGGGATGTAGATTGGTGCAACTATTATGGAAAATAGTATGGAGATTCCTAAAGATATTAAAAATAGAACTATGATATGACCTAGCAATCCCTCTTCCATGCATACACTCAATGGAAATGAAATCACCACCTCATAAAGATATCTGCACTCCTGTGTTCATTGTAGTATTATTCACAATAGTCAAGATATGGAAACAACCTAAGTGTTCATTGACAGACAAATGGATAAAGACATTGTAGTATATATACTCATATATCAACAATGGAGTATTATTTAGCCTTAAAAAAAGAATATCCTGGGGCCGGCCCAGTGGCGCAGTGGATAGTGCGCCGCTTGGGAAGCGCGGCGGCGCTCCCGCCCGAGGGTTCGGAGAATATCCTGTCATTGGCCACATCATGGATGAACCTGGAGGGCAAAGGGAGAGAGAACAAGACAGTGGTTACCAGAGGCAGGAGGGGAGGGGGGCCTTGGAAGTGGAGAGAAGTAGGTCAAAGGATATATATAGCATACATGTAGGATGAACAAGGCTAGAGATCTGTTGTACAACATGAGGGCTATAGGTAATAAAATGCTACTGTATTTGAAATTCCTGCCAAATGAGTAGATTTTAGCTGCTCTTTCTACAAAAAAAAGGCAACTCTGTGAGATGATGGATATGTTCATTTGCTTCACTTTAGTAACCATTTTACTATTTGTGCATATCCCGTAACATCATGTTGTAAATGTTAAATACACACAATAAAATTTATTTTAAAAAAGATAGAAAGAGGGATACTATGTAAACTTAACTAAACCAGCCCCAGCACTTGTGCCCTAGTATACCTGCCTATTAATGTGGTTGCTAGATTTAAATCAGATAATTTTATGTAGAGTTTTTTGTACTGTCCTTCTTGCATATTAAGTACCCAATACATGTAACTATTATATTTGAAGCACCTGTTTCTTAAGGCAGTATTTTTTTTCTAAAGACTGTCTCTTGTACCATTGCACATATTTGTCTCACAGGTTGCTTGATTTTTCAGTCACTTCCATATTTATACATTTTATCCCTTTTCGTAGGTTTTCTGTTTTCATTTAGTTCACTGACTGCTGTGGCTATTGTTACATTTTGTCTTTATTTTGAATCTTTTTGGTGCCTCTTTCTAATGATAATATCTGAATAATTTTATGCTGAAGTAATTTCCTTTGACTAGAATTTCCAAACTAAATGGCATTTTTTAATTGTTCCCTCCCCCCCCCCCCCC